GGGAAGGGAAGGTGCGGGAAGGGGAGGGAAGGTGCGGGAAGGGAAGGTGCGGGAAGGGAAGGGAAGGGACGGGAAGGGAAGGGAAGGGAAGGGAAGGGAAGGGAAGGCAGATAGAGAAGAAACTGCCAAGTTCATTATGTTTCTACAGGTGCATAATGATTACAAGTAAAGTTTTAAACCGTTGATTATTTTAACTCAGGAAAAGACTATAAGCCTCTAACGACCACAGATAATGTTGAAATTTACATAAATACTTTGATCCTGTTCCTGTGGGTGATAATGGGAACAGCCCTTTCTATTTATTATTATCTAAAATAACTGATGCACAAAGAGTACCACTTTAATGACAAGAGATTTCCCTAGGCTTACCATTTGAAAATGTCAATTTCTTAGTAAGAATGTCAGTGGTATGTAGTTAGCAGTGATGAATTTGGCTTTTTAGGAGTTGTTTCAATTGCTGTTCAATTAGGTGATGTATGTTAAAAAACTGTTGCCATGCACTGTCATTTTAACAGACTGGCTGATGGTGGTGGCACTTTTAACAGCTGTAGGTAGACTTGCACATGCTGCAATTTATTCACTTTCAAAGCTGCAATGGAATAGGTAAAATATTAGTGTAAGCATCCCAAAATAAATCTTTACATTCTATTCTGAAACAGAATTTAATGCTCTCATGCTAGGTTAAGCTTTCTGTTCATAAAGTCTAACAGGAGGAGTTGTGTTTGTCTTTGTGAAGGCAAAAGCTACAGCAAAATCATCTTATTTTCTTCTGAGAAGGAATTTATCTAACAAAACCATATGGGAAACTTTTCCTTTAGTTTTTGAAGTGTTTGTTGTAGCAATCACTGGAGCAATTCAAGTCTGCATTTGGAGATTGAGTAATTAAATTATGGATGGTTGGACAGAAGATTTGCTCCCCTATAGGCAAGGACTTATGACCTGGCTTTGACACGTACGCGTGCGCGCGCGCACACACACACACACACGCACACACACATAATATTTGATAATTAAATCCGAGCATATTTCTTTATGCGTAAGTCTTAAATTAATTATCCTGTGTATTTTAAGAATTTCTTTAACCATATAAAACCAAGGAGAATGGCATGCTAATTCATAAGTAATTATGTTATAGTAAGTTCTGTAAATTCTTTCTTTTGCAGAATGGTTGCTTAAGGTTTTTCATTTGTAGCCTCTTTTGCAAGTGGTACATCAAATATTCACAAAGAAATAACATTGATTTGAAAAAAGAGAGATCAACACTAAGTTAATTTGTTTTGAATTATGAGACCAAATTGAATTACAATATGTGTAAATTTTAGATCTTATTACTTGGTTTCTTCTGTGACCCTCTATTTCTATGCAGCTTTTAATTTCCATGCAGCTTTTAATTAAGTGATGTTATTAATAATGGGATTTCATTGTTATACTTCAGACTAATCCTCTAAACTTTTTTTTTTTTTTTGTTTCTCACTGATCTCCTAATAATTTATATACACTGTATTTTATAAATGTGTTCCTGAGGTCGGGTATCATTGTTCTGCAAGACGTCGCATAGACCCTATTTTAATACTTAGATTTAATGGAACTAATGAGGATAAATGGACATCTTGTTTAATAGCTACCTTATTATATATTAAAAAAATAAATTGCTTTGTTTTTCCTACTTGTTTCTGGTTAAGTGTTCTTCTAACTCATAGTACAGCAGCTGGCAATATGAGTTTCAGATGGGATGTAGATGTTAGTAGTCCACTGGCCTCTTCCACTTAGATGGTATACTACTCCAACACAAGCTCCATACAAGCAAATGTGAATTTAGTCAAGGTTCTCAATTCAAGGGCTAAAATGAACAGTTTTCTTCAGAGTGTCTTGTGCTCCCACAATGGCATTCCTTAATTCTCAGACTTAATAAAAGAGATTTCTAGGAAGTCTTCAGCTACATTAACATTGTTGAATATCTCTAATCATGCCAGCCTCTAAAAAGGGGAGATAAAATATATGTTCCAAAATTATATAGTAGGACGGTAAGGTGAATTACAATCAACAAACCAGAAAGTGCAAAATTCATATTATTAATTTTCTAGTGACCAAAACTTCTGATGGTCTGAAATACCAGTCTTTATATGTTAGGACAGACTCTTACCTACCTTCACAGTCAAATATTGCAAGGTTTGGAATATGGTTTACCCACCAGAACAAGAAGCTACTGAAGCAGGATGCACAAATAAAACTTAAAAGCAGTTATCCTTGTAACAATTAAAATAAAGTGACAGAGTTTATTGCTGGATTTAATGTTTTCAGTAATGACATAGGTAGTGAGATCAAGTGTATCCTCAGCAAGTTAGCTGATGACACCAACCTGAATGGTGCAGTTGATTTGTGTTAGGGAAGGAATGCAATCCTTGATAGATATGAAAATGGAGGGTGCTTGATAGACTTGAAGATTGGCCCATGTGAAACTCATGAAGCTCAACTAAGCCAAATGCAAGTTTGTGGACCTGGTTTTTAGTGCCCCCCAGTATCAGTACAGACTGGGGGAGGAAGGAATTGAGAGCAGGCCTGCCAAGAAGAGCTTGGGGGTGCTGGTAGATGAGACCTCAATGCTTCAAGCTCTAGGGTCCCCAACACAAGAAAAACATTGTCCTGCTAGAGGGAGACTGGAGTAGGGCCATGAAAATAATCAGAGGGCTGGAGCACATCTCCACGAAGACAGGCTCAGAGAGTCAGTATTGTTCAGCCTGGGAAGAGAAAAAGCTTTAGGGAGACCTTATTATGGCCTTTCAATACTTAAGAGAAGGCCTATAATAAAGATTTTTATTCTTTTTTCCCCCAAGGAATAAAGAGCAGAGATAATAATTCTAAAGTGAAACATGTTATATTTACATGTCCACTCCTGGAAATGTTCAAGGTTATATTGTATGGGGGTTTTGGCAACCTGATCTAGTAAAAAAGGTCCATGCAAAGAAGAAGATTGATCTAATTGTTTTTTAAAGGTCACTTGCAGCCCAAAATGCTATATGATTCTATGATTCTTTGATTTATAAAGGAAAAGATAATGTATTAGAGAGATGTGACTGAGGAGAACTTCAATCATTTGACCTACCTGTGAGAGCCTGGGGCTAAAGCAAAATGTTTAGGATTTCTTGTAATGTGTTCCGTAATAAATACTCTGATTGAAGTAAAGAAAAAATTAGAGAAAAGGTATATAGAACTAATCTTTATTTATCTTAAATATACTGGAGATATTATCTAGGTGATAGTTCATCTGAGTTTGCAATGTCCTTCTAGGGTTTATCTCTTCATTGTATAGCAACCTCATATTTAGATTATTGTAGTCAACAATCTATAAGTCCTAGTTATGCTATAATTTAGCTATTTGAATCTATTTATCTTTCTATTTCTTTTCTTTCTGTTTGAATAAGTCTCTTAACTCATGGACTGATACTGCAGCATATACAACATGTTCTAGAGAGGAGTACATAAATACATGACATTTCAACAGAGAAATCACAGATCACAAATTATAGTCACTCTGCAGTCAAGTAAAAGCTTTGACTAATTTAAAGGTTGTATTCTTTGTTCTTCACTGAAAGAAGTACCTCTGTTCTGAAGAACACTCAAGAACTAAGATTGACTAAGGACTTGTTAAAGATAATGAGATTACATGCTGCCCTATGTAGAATTTATTTATGTATACATAAGTGCTTTCGAGAATCAGGGCTATAGGTTTATTGCTTTGTGGCAGCTATCACCTACACAGCCAGAGGTAATGGAAATTTGTAGTCATTGCTAAACTATCAAAGTATTTTCCCATGCATGTCCAATAAAGGAATCAGCTGAAAGCAAAATTGTCTTGTGACATTGACATGATGATTACTGAAGATTTTAGCCTCTACAGTGTTTTGCTATTTTGCCATACTGTAATATAATGACTATTCTTTATTTTAGAATATGAATGAATCCTTTGTAACAGTCTAATATAAATATGCATTATGTGTTAAATACTGTATCAACTATTACTATGATGTTTTAATGATAACTTCTTTGGATTGGGAGGATACTCTTCACAGTCATTACATTAAACAGATATATTACAGATAATTAGGCTACAACAATACTACTACAATTAAGACTTACTCACTGAAGTACCTTTATTTTTTATTTATCAAATGTGAAGCAAGATTCTGTCTTCACAAAAGATGCTTTTGCTAATAAAGTTCTTTTTCATTTCTTTCCCATTGGAGATTTTGTGTGGGCTATGATTGCTCTCCTGGTTCCTTCTCCTTTTACCTCTAAAACATTTAGATAATATAACAATAAGTGGAAGGTTATACTAATTTTGGGGGTTTTATTTTTCTTTCAGGTGCTGGATTAAATAATGGCCAGTGGCATTCTGTATCTCTCTCTATCAAAAGGAATCGTATCAGTTTAAGAGTGGACAATGATGTGACTTCATCTGCTCATGCCTTCATACCTCTGCAGATTTATTCAGATGTGTTCTACTTTGGAGGTGAAATGTTGTTTGTTTATAATGGCAGTGTCCAGCAGTTACACATCAGTTTTTCCTGAAATATCTAATCAAATTAAAATAATTGTTTGGCTTGCTTCAAGTCTTCTTTGCCCAGCTTGGTTCAGGCACTGTTTTGATGTTTTTAGTTTCAGTTTCCTTCAAAATTTACCGTGTTGGTAGACTAAAACACCACCCTGAATCCTTGATCACATTTAAGACTGTCATGACTTGTATCATGTTCTGGTAATTGAATATAGTCTGGCTAGAAATCAAACAGACATGCAAAGGTTTCTCTTGCTGCAGACTTAATGTTCTGCAAAATGAACATTTTGGAGACACTTCCACTGGAATTACTTCAAGTTTTCACCTTAAGTGTATGCTTACCTGTGTAAATACCCTCTTTGTGTGATACATGGACCTTTTTATTTATTTATTTTTAACCACAGTGGTATAACTTTTCTATTGTTATACCTAACTATCTGAGGAATATAATTTCTGCCTAAAACATATATATATATATATATATATGTATGTCTTCATTTCTCTAGGAGTATGAACAGTCATCTATCATCAAGAGACTATGTCATTAGTAGCATGTATTGTTACTGATAAAGTAGAACAAGTTGTTCTGTTATTCATATAATTTTTTGTGAATAGAGTGCATAATAGCAATGATAAACATTACCTGAGTATGTAATTAGCCTAATGCTTCCTCTCTTTTAAACATTAATGGTTGAATTATTAAGTTATTCATTATTTATTAATAATTCTCAAATTTCTGAGAAAACTAAGAACTGAGGAGCTGTATACAGAGCACTAAATGAGTATGGACCCAGTCATTGTCCACAGATCACTTCCTTGGAAACAGTAAGTTTAAAATAAATTTTATGCTCACAGGCATACTCTTATGCTACATGAGCATTCACACGAATTATCCCATCTGGCATCTACCCTATTCTACTAAAATTACCTCTTGACTTGACTAATAATCAGCAAAATCAAAGAATGATGCAAATTATTAGTCTTGAATAACCCTTCTATGTTGGTTCGGATTCCCAGATCTCTGATTAGGTTATTTTTATCATTGCAGGGTTGATGGCACAGATGAACAGTTCAGAAGGGATGTGGGCAGTTACAAAAAGCAGCATATTTAATTAAGTTGTACAAGGGCACTTCCATTTCTGTTCTGTGGTGTGGAGAGGACAAAATAATTCCAGGAACCCTGAAAGTACCAATTGCATAGCCACCCCCCAGATTCTCTGATCTCAGCCTTATCCCTGAAATCTGCAGCTCATACCTCTCATACAAAGTTAGGGAATGCTAGAAGTGGTTTTCTGAGTTTAGAAAACTCTTTATTAATTTTTTATGTAATATACCACTGTCAAAATGCAGACAATGCATTTTTACTTTCTTTCCAAGTTTATATGAATATTTACTGTGTTTGTGCTGTTTGCTAAAGTATGAGTATCAGCCTTTCAGGGGACATGTCCTGGGGACATGGTGATTTGTTTACTTGTTTTAATGAATACAAATTATGTAGGAAATGTGTATGCTTAACTAGGAAAATGTGTAATAAACATGAAAATATTTTAGTGTATGTCAGCACAATTTCTAGTCATGCCATCATCAAGGATCTATAACCGCTCTCAGTTTTTGTAATAATAACTCACTGCAACAATAAGGGAAAGTGAGATCATTTAATATTGCAATAAGCACATAATATAAATTTAATTATTAAAGGATTTCTTCTTATCTTTAATATCTAGTGTACAATTGTAAGGAAACACAATTTAATTAATAGTATTTGTTAATGTTAATGGTATTTGTCTCTCCTCAACAGAAGACAATTTTTGAAAAAGAAGCACAAATAAAAACATCTGAGACACCATTTTGTAAAATAGCTATGTCTAAAAATTGTAAACTTTTCCTGCTTTCTCTGGCCTTTACTTTTTTTTCCACTTATTTATTTATTTACTTGAATATTTCATTTTCAAATGAGCATCATATTTTTCACCTGAAATTACAGAATTTATGTTACAGTTCAACTCTAGAATGTTGTAAAGCGTGTGGTTACACTTGTAATTGATTTGTCAAATTGTGTGTGGTGCTGAAAACTTTCTGTGCTTCTTTTTTGACTTTTGCAAGTTCTCATATATGTTGTTCTTAAAGCAACACACTGAGTAGATAATAAACATTTGCCTTTAGAAACATGATAACATGTTTGTAAACATAGCATGATAATAATTTTGAACAGTTCGGTTCCTGAACAGTTATACACAGTGAAAGTCTATTAACTTGTTACATTTCAGTTTTAATTCATTTTCTGTTCTATATTTCTCAAAAATATATCTATACTATTTATGTTGTTGCGCAGTCATTTGAATATATTTGGTAGTTTCCACTGTTGTTTTGCTTTCCTGTATCGTAAATTTCTCCACTGTCTTTACAGGAAAGCAAAAGTACCCATTAGCTCTCTGGAACAAAAAAGTGTCTTAAAACTCACTGCTTCCTAACATCCTGAAACAAGAAGGTCTTCAAATGCTCTGAACCAGAACGCAGTATTGTTTGACTAAGATCAAAGGATGACCCTTGTGCACCATTGCAGAAACAATAATACCCCTTGGAAGAAAGACGAATAAAAACCATTTAAGCATTGTAGTGCAGGGTTTAGATGCCACTGGGAAAAACTGCTCAATGAAAATGTTTTAAATCAAATCAGGATAAAAGCAATTAATTTATTTACTACAAATGTTTAATTATTTGGCAATCAGTGAATAAGGCATTTCAGGATCAGTAAGACAATAGATAAAGCACAATATTAGATTCTTACAGTCTGGATATCCTAATGGTATGTAGTCTAAGCTTCTGTTCTAAACAAGTCTTATTAGATCAAGATGTGCAGTGATGTGACCACTCAAGGCCTTTTACAGTTACGATGATGGAAATCTTACAACTTCTTGGGGCAAACTGTTCTTATATTGATATTATTTACTGTCACAGTAAAAACACTTGTTGCTTGCATCTTATGCCTTATGATCCAAATTTTCAGGTTTTTATTTTATCCTTTGCCTCTTGTCCTGTCACCATTCACTGCTGGAAGTAGTCTTACTCCATCTTCTCTATGCAATGTTATCAGATATCTTTATCTTCTCCTCTTTAGACTGAGTAGGCCCAGATCTCTCAGCCTCTCCTTATAACTGCATTCAGCTTCCTCTGGCCTCACTCTAGGATGCTGATGTCCTTCCTGTAGTGGGGAGTCGAGAACAGCAGCACTCCCTATATGGCCTCACCAGTAGTAGTGAGCCTCACTGCCATGTAGAAGGATGAACCACTTTCCAAGACTTGCTGACTATGCTCTTGATAATACATCCCAGAATGTCATTGGCCTTCAATGCTGCAAGAGTACTTCCCCAACTCATATTCCAGTTGATGGTCACTAGGATCTCAGGCCTGTCTCTGGACAGTTATCCTCCAGTTCGGATTGTTGCGTGGACTTATTCTGTCTCAGATTAAAAATCTTCATCTTGTTCTTAATTGATTTTGTGGCATTCCTGACCAGGCCTCTTTGATTTGCAGCCCTGCTCTGCAACATTTTGTCCCTACCCCTGGTTTGGTATCAGTTGCAGGCTTGCTGAAAGTGCATGGTGTCTCATCATCCAGGTTGATTAATCAAGACATTATAGATGTCATTACTGATCTCTGAATAATCTTCTGCTCAATGTTCATCAGCTGCAATTTGCAGCATCAACTGCCTGCTTATCCCACCCACATATATATTGGTGAATCTAGTGATAGGGAGACCTTAGAAAACCATCAAGTCTTTGCTAAAGTCGTGGTATGCAATGTTCCGTGCTCTCCCTTTATCTATACTGCTCATCACTTCAGCAAAAACAAAAAAGTCAGGCATGATTTAACCGTGAAGCTAAAGTTAGCTAAAGTTAGCTTCTTGTCCTTAGCATGTTTGGAAATGGCTTTAAGAAGTTTTGCTTTGTGAGTTTGCCAGGCAGTGAACTAACTACTGCCCTAGACTAACTGCCCTCTTGTTTCTTGAAGATGGGTGTAACATCTGCCTTTTCCAATTATCAAGAAGTTCAGCATATTACCAAGACCCTTTGAAGATTAAAATGTTAATGAATTCACAATGACAATGGCAATTGTTAAAATGGCATTGACCAGCTCCTGCAGCACCCTCAGGTGCACCTTGGGCTCATTGTTCCTTTACTGTGGACATTACATGATTTTTTCATACTCTGCTAGGATATGGGAATCTGGAGAATCAGTTGTACTAGTGAAGAAAAAGACCTTGAAGAAAGCAAGTCTGGCTTCTCCAGACCCTTGTCATTAAGTCACTTGCCCCATGGAATATATGTATAATATCCATAATCTCTTTAGCCTTCCTTTTCTTACTGTTTACCTACAGAAACCTTTCTGTTGCACTTCAGCTTCCTTGGCAAGTTTTATCTCCTCTTGGTTTCCTAACTGAATTCCTAGACGTGTAGGTAATGTCTTTGCATTCCTCTCTATCCTGCATGTCCCTGCTACCACATTTTGTGTGCTCTTTTGTGTGTTTTTACTTACTCAGGAGCTCCATGTTTATGTTTGCAGGCCTTGCACCACACTTAATTATTTCAATATTGCTATGGACTTCTCTATTGCTATGAACTTCTCTTTTGCTCTGAAGAGTTTTTTGTTGAAAGCTATCCAGCCCTTTTGCTCTCCAAGGCATCTTCATATCCTCATATCCTAATGGTATCCTCAAAATTAGATCCTGAACAGAAAAATTTTGGCTCTTCTGAAGTCCAGGGTTATAATTCTGGGGTTTTATTTCTTTCTTCTCTGTGGCTCATAAACTCCACAGCTTCGTCTTCATATTTGCTGTAACCAAGACTGTCCTTGAAAATCTTTACATTTTCGACTGTTTCTTCCTTGTCCGTGAGTCAGGTTCAATGCAGCATCTCTCCTAGTTCTCACTGATGGTCTGCAACAAGAAGTTTCAATACTTTACAAAATCTTCTTAACAGCTGATACAGTAAAATCACTGTTATTAGTAACTGATTTTTTTTTCCTTATTTGATTTCAATTGTGATTTAAAACTTCTTCAAATCATCTGACCTTGTATTGTAACCTAACATACTAGGAATATGGTCTCCCAGTCAACCTCTTCCTACCTTGATTCCACTCATTGCTTTGGAGCTTTTGTTGAGGTTATCCTTTAACAAAACTTTTAGTGATGTTTTGCATATGCTTTAAAAACAGTAAGACTGCAGAGATGTATTTCTTTTCGGTCATACAACCATGGTTTATCAGAAGTCCTCCAACCACGAAGTTTAAAATATGCAGAGGTTTTAAAAATTCAATTTATTTTTTGGAATATATAATTTTTTTCAATAAAATATTTCTTTTCAGCTCCAGTTCTTTTATTCTTCTTTCAGGCTGTCCTAGCAATGGAAACACTTCTGAATGTAATACCTCATTTGGTGGTTTTCAAGGATGCATGCGACTTATTTCCATTGGTAACAAAGCAGTGGATATGATCTCTATTCAGCAAAACAGTTTTGGCAATTTCAGTGATCTTCAGATAGATTTATGTGGCATTACAGACAGGTGAGAAAATAACGTTTACTCATTAATTTATGCATGTCGATGTTCTAATAGTGACTTGATGACAAAGAACAGATCACTTACAAAATGACGTGCTGTTTCTTTTGTAAGAATTCAGAAGTCCAGAATAAATGCAAAATATGTAGCATGTAGCAAATAGACTTCCTTTTACTGCAAATAAAATTAACTTTGACTAATATTATTTTAGGTTTCTGAAAAATTTTAAATGTCTTATTTTCTTTTCAAGTAACCTGCAGACACAAATCCACTCCTGCGACCTGTAGTCCCATCCAACCTTTAAAATACTGTTTTTCACAAGTTACTGCAGTTTCCTATATTCTACCTCTCCAGAAACACAGTAGGTAGTATCCATCACAGTGAGTGAGCAGTCATCTTTTAGACCATGGTCAGAACTAATCTCATAACTTGCATTTAGTGTCTATCTAAAACAATGGCTAGTTGAAGTGTCCCTCCACAGGAGGAAAGACTGTATATATTCCCACATAAATGCTTGATGGAAGGACATTTCTGGATTTCAGTGTAGTGAAAGCAGAGGGGTTTGCAGAACAACACAGGCTGCTGAGATGAGAGAGAGCAAATGCACAAAAAGTCACTGGATGGAGAAGTTCTATTCTGTAGACTCCAGAGAATGCAGTCAGAGACAGCTATGCTATCTTTAATCCAGAAGTGTTTTACTTGGATCTGGGTGAAAGGCTGTACTGAAAGGACACAGCAAGCCGAGGGGAATGATGTGCTTTTGAATAATTCTCTCCTCCTTTCTATAGTTCTAGTCCTCATAAAGTGCCTTTTGATTTCAAAAAGTCTGTCTTTTGAATTATAAGATTTTTCAAAAATTATTTCTTTTTGGGAAAACACTGTAGGCAGAGATCTGCTTCAAGACAATAGCCACTTTCAGGGTCAGTCACACAACTCTACTTCTGTGACCTGCTATCCATTCTGAGAAATAACACAATGTACAGCTATGCATGTTCTTATTTTGGAAACACTCACTACTCCTTGTAGCTGAAAGATTAAAAAAAATACTAGCTATTTGCCTAATTCTTCATAAAAGTTAAGGAGAGAAATGTCCAAGACAAGGATGAAGGTTCTGCCAAAAATATGATTCTTTCAATTGTGTTTATAGTGTATTCTCACTAATTTCTACACCTATCATACATTAAAAACATATGCAGTTCATATATGTATACATATACATATATATACATATACATAGATACATGTATACATACATACATACACACATGCATATATATATATATATATATATGATTGTGCTAATTAATCTCTTACTGAGGTAATCCTTACTTTGCAGTAGGCACTAAGTGTGATAGACATGGGCCAAACCACAGCTTGGCCTCAGTCAAATCTTTACTGTATGACTTACTAGGGACTCTTTGGGATGCCACATGCATTAATGTTTCTTTTTTCCTCTTTCATACTATTGCCTTTGACTTTTCTCATTTTTCAATCATAACTGTCTCCTTCCTCTCCTCTTTGAAGGACCTCATGGCACTTCCTTCCAGCTTCTAAAGCACTGCATCTCTGCTGGTTTTTGACCTCTGGAACTGAACTTAATTCTATTTCATTGCTTTCTTTCTTGCTTGTATAAAGAAAAAAATCAGGAAGAGAATCAGGTCAAAAGAATCTAATGTGGGAATATGCATATTCCTTAGTCAAACACATCAAAGGCTATCTAAGCAAGATTATGAGTGAAAAATATCACCTGATTGCCTCAATTTCTGTCTGATTTACCATGAATTTTCCAATGCTCACAGTAACTGTGGACATCCTAAAATGCTTATCCCTGAGTTTCAGTTTAGAAATCATCTCCTCCTCCATGAATTTATGTAGTGATTCCAGCTATTTTCAGTTTTGTATGACCATAAGATGTAAGTTTGTACATGTAGGTTGTAAAAAGATGGTAAGTGGATAAATGAACAATACATGATGCTTAAAGCAACTATGTAAATCTCAATATATAGAAATCCAGCATTATTTACAGTATACAAGTCTCAGAACACTTTACTCTTACTGCTTTCTCATACTTTACTGACTTGAGCTTATATGACTTTCATACTTCATCAAAATTATGTGTATTCTCTCAAGATAAGTGATACAAAAGGAAAAGAACATCTTTATGGGAGATTTTTGGTTGGTTGGTTTTTTTTTCTCTAATATTTGCTAGTGTAAATTTATGTCTCTTCTTCTGTCTTGACCATTGTACCTTTCTTGCGTTGGCATTGCCAGATTTAGTTTTCAATTCCAAGCATGCTTACCATATGTCTTCCTAATTTATCAAAATAGAAATTTAATTGTCCCATTTTTATAAATCTCATTACCCTCATTATATCTTTTTTCAAAGTAGACTGCTTTTAAAAAGCCTCTGATTTTGTGCTGTCTTGCTTCTGGGACTGTTTCTTTCCCCCTTCCTCACACAGTCTCATATAATTCAATATCTGCAGCTCATCATTTGGAATAAGCGTCATGTCTCTCTTTATCAAACTAATTCTACATTTCACAATAAATCCCAGGTGATAAAGCGCATTTGGCAAAATTAAAACTGCTTACATGTTTTAAACAATTTTAATAGGTAGCTTGTATCATGCTGTGCACCATATTGTTTGAGGAAAAAAGCTTTCTTCCTGCCATGATTTATAAATGTCTTTGAATGCCCTAAGTGAATGAGCATTTTTGCCACTGTGTTCCTCATAGTAAATATCTCCATACAGGTGAGCAAACAAATCCCTTCTTTGTCTTGGAGTCTTTATGTGAGTCTTTACATCTTCAGTTCCAAATTGTGAAGCATGGCCCAAATTCAGAAGTTACTGATGGCTTTTTTACTTGAAGTGATTGACACCAAAATGTAGTAGTTTTATAGTATGTTTTACACATATAAAGTGCATGAAAGCAAATAAAATTTACTCTTTGCATAGCAGCCTGGATTTACATCCAATAGTAAATAAACTGAAAACAGTTCTATTTAATCCATTCTTTACCTCATGTATACACATTTAACATATGAAGAGTGTTCTTTATGAGATTTCCAGTCTTCATGGAGAGATGGTTAGTTAATAATTCATTTTTCTGAATATAAATTAACTTTTTATTCATTTTATACAAACAAATACCACACCATTTTCCTATTTTCAGTTTTCTCACTTTGATAAACTTTCTAATTCCTTATCCTAGTCTTAAATTGTTTTGACTGTTTGCAGTCATCAGTCTTCCCATGATCCTCCATTTAGCGATTTCATTACATATCTTTATATTGTTCTATTGCTCATATATCTCTTTTACATGCAAACAATTCCCTTTCTCCTTAATGTCTTTTCTCTCAGCTCCTCTATCAATATATATTGGTTTAATAACTCCTAATTAGATATAAACCGTTCACAAAATCACTTTAAAGGACACAGTGTCATTTAAATACCTTACAATGTTAGCGTATTTAGTCTCTGAGGAAAGAGTAACAGATGAGCCTCTCCTAATTACATTGAGCCCTACACAGAAACATACAATTTCCTACCAGGACCTCTTGCCTTTTTGTCCTGGCAACAGCATAGAAAAAAAGGATTGAATGGCTTTATATCGTTAAAAAGAAAAGCCAGAAGTAAAAATGATGGTCACTAAACAGTTCTGAAATAATTTTTCTTCTCTTTTTTTTTTTTTTTTTTAATAAACTGAAGAACGAAGAAATAATAGGCATTAAAAATGCAGCATTTATTTGCTTTCTTTTAAAGGATCTTTTAGCCATAGTTTAGAACCATGATAAAGAAATAGTACACAAAATATGTGTCTAGCTGAAAATTGACACAGAAAGTTATTATTTTTCCCTTGCTTTATCACAACTATATTCATATTGTGGATCAATATTCTCCTCTCAATATTAGTTTATAGTTATCCATAGGCTGCTGCCTTGGTCTAAAATATTATATAATTTGCAGAAGACATACACTTAAAAACATATTATCAAGAAATTTGTGGTAAATGTTTAATCAACTGTTGCTTTTCTGGTTTTAGCAGCCACAGTGATGAATCCAAAAATTGATTTTTATAGATGAAGTATTAGAAATACTGTTTCAAATATGAGAACTATTTTTTGAGAAGATTTACTTGTTCAAAGAAAGCTGTGTTCTAAATCTTGCTTTGGGGTGGGTCACAGAATATAATGTAGTTATACATTTACTTTGATGTAGCTAGTGGCTACTTTCTCTTATACATTCTCAAGCAGAGGAGAGAATGTTAAAATATTTTAATTTAATGTTAAAAGATTTAAATTATACTCTTAACTTGTTTTTACTTTCATTAAGGTTGGTTTAAATGTAATCAATTTCATTAAAGCTTTTCATCTTGTAAACAATATTAGGAAGATTAATTAGTAAGGACAGGGAGTCAATACAAGTAAAGACCTTGTAAAACACAATTTTTTGATAATGTCTTTATCAGAAAGGCATAAGACTCAAAATATGACTTAAATAAAAACAGAACAGCTGTCAGTGAATGCACTGAAGGTCTTGAATGGCAGTTTTGTTAGAGAGTTGTATTTATAATAACTGATAATTAGTTATACCCATAGAAAGTAAAACAAAGCATTTACCTAAGAAACATAAGTATGTATATTTATATAATTCTGTCAAAGTATTTAGAATGAAAATAATTGTAAGCCTGGTGCCTAAATTTTATCTTCAGGTTCCAAACCAGAATTCATTGAGACATATATTATCTGTTGACTGGTTTCAGGCATACATTTTGTGAGTGAGAGAATAGATACAAGACCAGCTCTTTCACTGCCAAAAAATATCACAGATTTCCTTGAAATTGGGTGACATCTATCAGTTTACTTACTTTACCTATACTTCACCTCCTACTTCTTTTTTTAATTCCTTTCTGTGAAAACCACTTATTCTTGTTTGTAAACATGAAAGATAAAATTCTTTGAGTGCCATGAACAGTGAATATGCAAAGACTCTGAATTATTCATAGGGCAGATGTGTGAAATGCTGGACATTCTGCAATCCTAATTTAATATTCTCCTACTGTTTCTTGAATGAATTATAAGGTATTTTAAGATCCTGTGAGTGTTAGTGGGCATGTGGTTTTTGTTAGTGTTTTTTTTTCCTGTGACTAATGTCCACTGTAAAGTAATTTTTTACTTTCTGAGCTGTATCATACACTGAGTGCAGTTAGATTATTAACTAATTTCTAAGGTGAAAAACTAGTTAATAATTGGTTGAAGCATGCCAATATATTTCAATATATTTTCAGCTGAATTTATAAAAAAAAGGGATTTCTTTCTTTTTCGTCTCACGATTATTTTATACTTTAGTATAGTGTTGCAGTCTTTAACACTAAGAAGTTACAGGTAAATTATTTTTTCAGTCAACCATTGTATACCTAGAAGAAATTAATCAAAACTCTTCAGGATCTTAGTCATATTACCAGAGTGGAAACTGGAACTGGTTCGTTGTGTTGGAAATGACATATTGAATTATTTCTAGCGTAGGAAGTAAACATAATTTTGGAATTAGAAATAGATGTCAGGTGCTGTGGTCAGATTTATTTGTTAGGTGATTTTTTAATTATTATTTTACAAGAACAGAAAGAAGTCTGGTGTAATGTTGCTTTGTTTTGATACATGTTGTTGAAGAAATCCCAGTTATTGCAAAACTTGCCATTGAATTATTAACACATAAACCTTTCCTTGATTTATTAGTCTGTACTGAATTGCAGCCAGTTGAACACTAATAACGGTTCTGCATCTTACACTTTATTTCTGTTCTCACAAGCTTATTACATAATTAGGATATTTTTTATAAGCAAAAGGAATACCAGGGAAGAAATTCTTAGGTTTTTTTTTACTTGCATTGACATCTTTACCAATGACCTTGATGACTTTCTTCACATTATAGTTCTTTTCCAGGATTTTGCTTTTCTTGCTAAGTACAAGTGGCATTTAAGTGAGGGGAAAAAAGAGTGAAAATGCAAACTGTTTTTTGTTTTAGGTGTTTGCCTAATTACTGTGAACACGGTGGTGAGTGCTCACAGTCCTGGAACAGTTTCCACTGCAACTGTGCCAATACTGGTTACAAGGGAGCTACTTGTCACTATCGTAAGTCTAAGATGTTTTCTGATTTCTGACTATGCTTTTCCTTCTGACTGAATTTCTTCACCACAAAACAAAATTAAAAAAAAAAGAGACTAAACCAAACCAAAAAACATTTGAACTTACCATTCATAAAATATTTTAAGCCATAAAAGTAACCATAATTTGGTTTGAGGAAAGACCTTGGGAACTCAAAATATCTAACAAAAAAAACCCAAAAAAAAACCAAAGAAAAAAAAAAAAAAGAAAATTTAATTTTTTTCTTTCACAATTTTTGTATTTTATGTGCGGTATTACTATGTAATACCCTCTGTCATCTGTATAATTCCACTTTCTGAAGCAATGTATCTTTTAGAAATATGGTAAATTCATCTTTATTCATCACAACAACTAATATTTATTATTTCTGAGCCAGTGAGACTACATGCATGTCCAAAGATAATCCTGTGCTAAACCTCAAACACATGTTTATGTAGTTTGCTGGATCAGAAAGTAGATTTGGAGAAAATAAAATAAACACATTTTGAAAACCTAATTGAATGTAACTTAGGTAATTTCACAGGAGATGCTTTACTTTGGTACTGCTTTCAGCATGTTCTGGGAAAAAGATAAAAGAAGTATTCTGGTTTTCACTACCTACCTCTTAAGTAAAAATCCATATACTTTTACTTTGTTTTTTATACAAAGATTTCCCTAATCATCAGATAAATAATTCTGTACTTATATATTGTCTATATAAAATCTACACAATCCTTTATGGCAGCTTTCACAGAAAGAATGTATGTCTACCCAAATGGGATTTTTTGAGAAATCACTGATTTTAAAAGACTGTCTATTTAAGTCTTGATCATACAAAGTCAACAACAGTCATAAATAACAGTATTAAGAAAAACCATGTAACATAGGAAATATGCCAATAGTAAAGAAGATTTTGAATACCATGGTATATCACATTAAACTCTGATGAGCGCAGAGTGAAGATGAAGGTGATTTGATTCATTGCAATTTGAAAAGTCACAAATTGGATCATCTGGTGATGTGTATGCGGACAGACGCAGGCTAAGGTTTCCTGATGATTAGGACTCAATGAGAAGTGTAATAATATGAGTTACAAATGTTTTTTATGGTCAAAAATAGTAATGAATAATCAAACTTTTGTAATTTCTAAATTTAGCTAAGAGTACTTATTCTAAGGAACAATAAAATTGCATTTTAAAATTGCATAAATTGTTTATTATGGATAATTCCTAGGGTAAGTAAAATGAAGGATTTGGCTTTTTTATAGCTGTTGCAATGTCATGTCAGTAACCATCAGAAAAAAGATAGAAAGATAACACTCTTAAAATACTAGCTTATTTAAAAATGTTGTATAGCACTCATAACTACTTTTCATTATTAATCTGGCAGCTCATTCTTTTTGGCAGAATTTTTTTAAGCTTTGATAAATGATAGATTACAGTTTAATTTGGAAATGAAATATCAATACATTATGACTGCTCAAAAGAAATAAAATGGTTAAAGGAGAATTTAGATTAGTATGTCCAGCTGTGACATTATCATTATGCTTCCTGAGATACAGTTACAGAAGTGGACTCATACATCTTTTTTTTTTCTCACATATTTGATATATAAGAGGTATTAGAGATTTATTTTTTTTTTAAGACCTAGATTGATATAAAGTATACCTGACAAGGAACCAAGGAGCTGTCTTTTATTTATTTATTTATTTTGTTTATTTAATGATTTTATTGAAATCTCTGACAAGTCACATTTCCATTAAAAACGGGAAAAAATGAGAAGTGTGAAGACTGAAAAATGCTTATCTTCTGCTTTATGTTACAACAACAGCAACAAAAATCTGATTTGGTTGAGGTAGTTAGTGAGGGTTTCCTCAAAACCTGATTACCAGGGTCTAAGTAATAACCTTAGTATTCTAGCATTATTCAGCAATTTTACAACCATTTACTCACTCATATTTCATGTGTTCATTCCAGAAGTTTTGAGCTGGAAGTATAGAATAAAATGCTTAAAAATGCACCTTATGATCTCCATGATAAACCAAATATGCTTAACAATTTCTAATAAAGGCATAATTTCGATTGCATGAATTTTTCTTCATTCTTTAGCAGAGATAGTACACATCCAACTTCTTTTCCCAATGTCAAGGGTCATGCACATTTTTTTTTTAATTCCCTGAATAAAATGTAAAATCATGCCATGGCATTTGTGATGAAATGTGTTCTTTTGCAGCCATCTATGAGCAATCATGTGAAGCCTATAAGCACAGAGGGAACACTTCAGGCTTTTACAATATTGATTCAGATGGAAGTGGCCCCTTGGGACCATTTCTCGTATACTGCAATATGACAGGTGAGGTGATAAACTTCCTTAACTTACAGCTGTGACTGTATGCATGCTCATTACATTGAGAAACGAGTTATCAAGTGAGAAATCTCTGCAGTTTACGAATTTAATGTAAACATGCACAACAGAATGAAGGTGACCCTTTAGTGCAGGATATTGGGCAAATAATTAGGCATAAAAATTAGAATTATAACAGGATTCAGGCTGTGAAGCTAATACAGCATTCCTGTTTTGTTGTGCATAAATGGGGTATGTGTTCCATATGTTGACAACATCATACTAGTTCATTTTGGGGAGCAGCTTTCTTTTTACTGAAGTTGCAGCCTCACAAGGATACTTAAGAAAATGAGAAATAAGTTGTTTTATGAGAAATTTGCTGACTTTTCCCAATAGCCTTCTGAAAAATTTTAATTTAGATCTGGCCTTTGTTGGAAGGAATACAGATATTAAACTTCATCTTTCAAACTGCATGGTGAGCATTTAGAGAAAACAAATACAACCAGTCCATCCAACTTGCAGCCTCACCTTTGGACACCCTGTTTCCCTTCTGCAACCAGTTCTTTGAATCTGATCGTGTAGGTAACTAGAAGTTTTAGCTGTCAGTTTGTTTTCGGTCTGCTTTTTAACAAAGCAGTTGATTCTATCTCTTTATTGTGTATGATATATTGGTATTTTAACTAAGCTTAAATTTAAGTGACTTTTTGGAATTTATTATTGCTGGATTTGTGGCTGTCTCCTTTACTTAGCCCCTTTAATATGAATTGCTTTCCATCAAAAATGATGGGAATATTTTATTGTTTTATTTGACAAAAATTTAGTTTTACAGTTACAACTGTTTAAAAGAATACATGAGTAATCTAGATTTGAACTGGGTAGGGCTAGATATGCCCTAAGTGTTGAGAACTTGACTCAGAAACCTTATAGTAAGATTCTGATGTTGACTTGAGCAATTTACCTAGTCTTACCATGTCAGCTCCTGACTTTGACTTCTACAGTGAATTGTGCTTTCTCACAATAAGAACACTTCAGATTGGCATGGGCTCTTAAAAAGAAATATTCTAGTGTCCTGTGAGACTAAAAAGACCAAAGAATCATGGCAGAAAGATGACAATTTTTCTAAGTGGGTATAACTCTCCAAGGTACAGTGTAGTGTCTGATTTATCCTTGTGTGTCCATGAACAGCTGTTCCTGTTTTCCTCAGTCACTCCTTATTCACCACATTAAGCAAATATCATTGATCAGTTCCTCATCTCAAGATGCATTCTGACAGGATGAATCTTCTATATTTGTTTTGTTCCCAGTTTCCTCATGACTGGTATTCCCTTTTCCCATCAGAGGCAAGGAAGGCAGATGCCCACATTTCCTACTGCACTGCCTTGTCTTTGACATTCATGGGGCTCTATTTCAGGCAGCTGGGAGGGAGGTGCCATTCCCTGATTTTATTCTTGGAGCTCAGTTTCAGAATCAAAAGCCTACGGTCCACACTTAATTGCTGTCAACAACACACTGTCAGTTAAGATGCTAAAAACTTTGCAGTTTTCTGTTTTTTGGTTTCTGGTGGGTTTTTTGTTGTTGTTTTTTGTGGTTTTTGGTTTTTTTTTGTTTGGTTGGGGTTTTTTTTGTAATTTTGGGAATGTGACCATGAGTTGAATATCAAAACTGCTTGTCTTCATTTTTATGTTCAGTGTAATGTAGAGATGTAGTTGTGTCTGTATGTATGTCCATCTACCAAAAAAAACCCCACAACCATAGAAAACAGCACCCTGAACAAATAAAGGAACCAAAATTTAAATTTGTATTTCCAGCTATCTGGTTTTTGATACTCTAATTACATCCTTAATAAAATTATATAATTAGATTAAATATATTTAATTTCATTTTTCTGACTAGTTCTTATCTCTAAATGACCATAGTTCTTTCCTCTTTTTGGATATTTTATAATATCTGCCATGTGTGGCCTATAGACAGCTGATGAAATAAAACACAGGTCTAGTTAGAATACTACTATTACAATGTCTGAAATGTTATATCGATACTAAAATTTAGAAAAAAATAATAATTCTTACGATTTTTCAAATTACACTGGCCAAGAAGATACATGAATACGATGACCATGAATCTAAAATTGACTGTTCCAGATGGACTTTAACTGGAAGCCTTCTCGCACCTACCTTGGGAGGGGTTTTGGTCAGGAAAGTGAGGCTTACAGATTTTGAAAGTGGGAGCTGAAACAGAATAAGCTCATTTTTTTCCTATTCACAGGTGAAGGGGCTTGACAGAAATACAAAACAGAAGAATGATATGAGCCTTCATCATGAATACTATTTAATTTTAGGTGGCAGTAGTAATTAACCTTCATATAATCTTACTTTTATAGTTAGCACAGTAAACACAAGAACTTCTGCTTCTTTGTATCATACAAAAGACCTATAGGCCATTTTCTCATACAGAATAAATTAATTCAACCTATAAGGATGTATGTAATGTAGGTAGATTCTAGGATAGAATTAGTGTTTAAATGCATTATTTAAGCCTGGGAAAAGTCACAATAGTAAGTGTTTTTTCTTTCTAACCTTTCATTGCAATTTATCAAGTAAACAATATTTTATTTCTGATACAAATATTTGGGTGTCATGACATATTCTTTCCTTATTCAATAATCATAACTAGCTGAATACCTGTTACAGTCATGGTACAGTGATCTATCTATGAATAGAATAAATGAGTAATTGGTTTCATTTTTGCTCAATGATTTATGTTTATTTCATGGGCCCCAAAGAGCTTTCTGTGATCAAAGAAGTTATCTTGAAGTTTAGCTGATTTCATGCTACATGCTCTTTCCATTACTAACTCCTGCAGCTTTCTCATTCCTTATTACCTTTCACATGTGTTTTGAAAGATGCAACGTGGACAATTATACAGCATAACAGCACCAACCTAACCAGAGTTAAAAGTGCTAATCGAGAGAACCCACACACTGTGTTTTTCAAGTATTCTGCCAGCCTAGACCAGCTTCAGGCTACAATAAACCTTGCAGATCACTGTGAACAAGAGCTTGCTTACTACTGCAAAAAATCAAGGCTTTTAGATAAATCAGGTAAGTAAAGCAGTCAAACCTTATTATGTTGCATCGTGCCTTTATTTTCACTGGTTACTAAAATTCTTTATTTCTAACAAGGCTATGGCATTTTGCTACTATGGAGTTTGAACTACTTCAAATAATGAGTTCTCAGATTTCTGTAAGTTACCAAGAGATATTTGAACCAGGAAAATACAAATGTCGATTTATAATGATTTTCTTTCAGAGAATTAAATTCTCAAGTTAATTTCTCTCATAAGACATTTAAATTAACAGAGATTGTTAACAGATCCCCTCTTGTTTGGTATTCCAAAATTTTTTTTAAATTTAATGAATTTTAAATTATTGCTGAGGAAATATCTTCTTAAAAGAACAGAAATTAGTGCGTAGATAACAGGAGAAGTTAATGTGTGCACTTAATGTGCATATTGTGAGTGCTTGACAAAACACATCAATAACATTGAATTTCCAATGTCCAATATAAACATTCTTTAAAAGCTCTCTAGTTAAAATGTGGATTATTGACAAAATTATAATTGCTTTAAGAAATAAAGAGAGGTCTGATCTACTTAAAGAAAAGTGAAGTTATGTAGTATATTTAAATTTTAACTCTTACTGACACAGAGCTGGTGTTAAAAGACTTTACTGTGAACATCTAAGCACTCCAAATACTGTAGAGGTAAAATCCTCATTGTTTACTGTTTTTTGAAAAACTAAGTGAAATTTTTTGACTTGTGCACCAGAAACTCTTAAGATGCTAAATATTGATTCCTTGGCATTCTTTCCTACTAAGCAGAGAGAATATCTCTGCATGAAGTCCTCTCTGGTTCTGTGTCTAAGCTCTTTCTTTATACATTCTTTCTCCCTAATTATGGCATGGACATCTCTGGGTTTTTAGACTGGTGTTCGCTCTTGGAAGAATATCTGTTTGAAAATACCTCCACAGAAAAAAAAGTGAACCTGCTGCTTTAAGATGTCCCAATGAGCCTTCCTTTTACTGTGGGCTCCAAATTAAAACTATGTTTAAGTGTTCAAAAGCCTGGTTTGCCTCAAGCAGAAAGATTAAAGACTATTGTTTTGTCCGAGATTGCATGTAAATGTGCTAAAGTAATTCACTGTTTTTATTGTTATGCTGTTTATATTACATATCACTGCATATTTATAATATGCACATAAATGTGCTAAAATAAATGCCTTCAAAATGTGCGAAGTCACCTGTGATAAGTCATCTAAAATTTAGTTTTGAATGCTAAGAATGAATAGACATGTGAAAGTTACATGAGACTTGTAGCAATTTTCTAAAATAATTCTTTTGTTTAAACACAGCTTAATCACTCTCATTTCTGCTGTTTATAATCTTCACTAGGTATGCCTGAGAAATAGAAAATTTGATGATGGTTACATAATATATTTTTGGAACATACAATCCACCTAATTTTTAACTGTAATCTTTAACTGACTGAATTTTAGGAATGCATTTTATTCAATCCGTCTGGATGGCATTTGCAAATGATCTCATTAGAAAAGTCATTGGTTAATACATTTATGTGATCATTATGAAGAAATCTCTAACTATTTTAATTAATGGCTTTATTTTGCTTAGGCAGTACTTTCTGCCAAGGCAGGGAAAAAAGTCTAGGCTAATCAGTATGAACTTGCAGCATTTCAGTAAATACTCTCTTCTTACCCTGCTGTATGAACAAATAACTGAGACCAGCTTTTAAACATACCCCAATGTCCCTAGTGAAACACTGGGAATGCTAATTCATGACTACAATATAAACCTAAGGCATGCTGTTAAAGCAGCAGAAATATTCTGCTTTTTACAGTCTTAGTTGTTAGAACCTTTTGAAAGTGTTGTCTGATAAATTATTTATACACAGTCTCTGTGTTTTCTTCCTCCTGTGATGGTTTGCAAACACAAACACTGATATTGGACATTGATGCCATTATGCAAGCTTGACTTTTCGAAAAACTGCTCACACTGGTTTTTGGCCTGCTGGGCTGACAGTTGTGTGGTAATGAATGCAGTCAATATGTTCGCAATCTGAAAGATTGTCAGTGTAACAGAGTTTTTATCTAACAGTGAGGTTTAATAAGCAGTAGCAGTTGTAAGTAAAGTTGAGAGTAGAATAAATTCCAGCTTCTTCATGGGGGCCAGGTGCTGAAAATGGAACTCTGGCAGAAACAAAAAGAAATGCATCCATGAGAAACTATAATTTAACAATACTTGGTTTCTTCTCATGCCTTGACTTTCATACATCCACCACCCTTCTTCCATCTCATTTGAGATTGTTTATCTTATGCTTCATATTGTTTAGCTATTATCCATTCTGTAGATATTTCTTCTGTTGCTATGCTTGCTTGGCAATATCTTTAAGCTTATTCTGCAGTACTGTAACATTAAGGAAACATACAGTTTTGTCATTTTGCTACAAACAATGCTGACTGGGGGCACCACAGAGAGATGTAATAGTACAGGGCTACCTCATTTCTGCTCACCACATATATCAACTTGCTTATGGGAGCACCACTAACATGATTTCTGTTGTCTCTGAGTATATAAATTCTGAATCTGCTGTCCATGACCTAGCAGCTGTCTTTGGGCATTTCTGATTAACACTACTATTCATCTGCTTAAAGTTCATCACAGATGTGGGTAGTAGTACTCTGTAGTACTCTTGGTAGTGGGTTGAGGCCATTTCTGTGACTTTCCTCATTCAATTTCTGGTAGTTCCAACATATGAAATTGATCTTTACTTGGGAATATAAACTACCCTGATTTTTAGGATGATTATATCTCCTCTTTCATGGACCATTTTAAAATGAATTATATAAATGGGCTGCTTAAGATATATTATTCTAATATCATGGCTGGCTGAACTAGGTACTGTGAGTTCCCTTTTCCACTAATGCAAGCAAAAATCTGTGACAATCACTTAATATGTGAAAACGAAGTATTAAAATGAATAATTACTTATCAAGTAAAGGTGGAAATTTATTTTTTTCCTGGTCATTTAAAGGTTTTAGATTTGAGCAGGGATTTTTGTCTTCTTAACCTTTTGGAAAATTATTTTGATGAGAAACCGGAGAGAAGTAGGAGACAAGACTGGGCACTGATTTTCTCTAACCTGCTTTTTAGATGGGATGCCACTGAGCTGGTGGATTGGAAGAAGAAATGAAACTCATACTTACTGGGGAGGTTCCTTGCCTGCTGTACAAAAATGTGCATGTGGACTGGAGGGAAGCTGCATTGATTCCCAGCATTACTGCAACTGTGATGCGGACAGGGATGAATGGTGACTTTTTACTGTTGATTATTTACAGTACTTCTTTTGTTAAAAGTAAATAAAGAAAACATACAGACCTTAGCATATTTATAATACCAAGGCAGTTGGAAATCTAAGTTGCCATATTGTCATCTGATTCTTTGCTACAGAACATATTTTTCCACAAAGTTATTGCTATGTACATTAGGTATAATTGCTAATTCTTTCACTCTAAATTTTGGGGAAGTTCAATTTTGCAGATACTTTCTACTCCTCTAGTGTATTGCATGTTACAGATTAAAACTATAGTTCTTTACCACAACTTCAGTTAATTTTAGACTACTGAACGTGATTAAGTTAAAACATTCTGTGAAAAAAAGTTATTTTAGCATAATTTATAACTACACTTTAAAGTTTAGCTTTTTTTCATCCTTTTTTTTCCATCTAAAACATAGACAATTAAAATTAATACTCTTTCTATCAATGAAGCAAAGCACTCATGTGGAGTCCTGTTCAAAGAGAATGAATGAATTACATCTTCCACTTGTGCCTAAAATTCTCTGGTGTCATTTAGAATTACTTTCATATAAATAATATAATGGATGACTTCTTTTTACAATGTCAAATCTGAACTTGACTTTTCATTTAGTAGGATCAGATACAACTTTCTCAACAATGCAGTACAGGATTTGGTAAAGCAGAGGGACTTCACAAATGAAAGCTCTTCTGTTGAAGAAACTTTTACGGTCTTAAAGTTGTGAAGTCCATTTAAATTACATAAATCAAGTTCAGTGAGTACATTAACATGTGCATCTTAAAAAAATGCATCAACATCAATTTTTTTGAAAGTGGGAAAATGTAAGGAAGATACTTAGGAACAGCTTGACGTGTGCAAAATTAAGCATTGCACCATTTTTTTCTTCTGAAGGTCCACCCTTCCTTTAAAGGACTGACCAGTGAGTTGGGTTGGAAAATGCTTGTTCCCTTAACATGGGCAGGGAATTCAGCAGACACAGAAATGACAGTACAAGAAAGAGTTAATCAAAGAACAATTCTTCACAAGCTTCAAAGATTTCTGGAGAAAAGAATTTGCTATTGCAGTAAAATTCACAGGGTGATATCTGCAATGTTTATTCCAATAAAGAGATAAACAAAACACACATAACACTAAGAACTTCCCTATTATTATGTTGTATGAAAATAAAACCAGTATTAATTTGTAACATGAAAGTAAGTGCTAAAAGGCAAATGAATTATGAGAAAAAAATTAGCACAGTTGCTCATACATGTAAAATATTCTTGCTCAGTTTTGTCATTTGTTCAATAAAGGTTAATTTATAATAGTAACATATTTGTAAATACAGTATATGAGAGGATTATATGCATATCTTCACATACACATCCACTTCCAGTAAGTTGCTGAGATATTTATGAGAGTATTAAATTTAAAGAATAATGAGTCTGGGTTTATATTTCTGTTTGTATCCACTTTTGACACTTCTAAGTAGAGATTCTTCCCAGTAACTCCAGTATTACAGAGGTTACACGTACACTCATTTCGGTACTTGTGATTACCGTTGTGTTTCCCTAGAGACTACTGCTTTGCATCAGTTGATACTTCTAGTAGATCTCAACTAGATACAGTTCACTGGGGGGAAAAGTAGGTACAAGCTATGCTTGTTTGAGATGCATTTTGATCATAGACAACTAGTTACACACTGTGGTTTTGAAACACTGGTTTTGACAGTCTACTTTTATAGTGAAATCTTATTTCATACATTGGACATAAATTTAACTCTAAACTCCTTACTTGTCTAATGAAAAACTTTACACCCATAGAACTTTAGAATAGATTTGTTTTTAAAAAAAACCTGGTCCTAAAAATTTAAAAATTGCAACTCCTCTCCACAGAAGATAAATTCTGTACACTTTCCTTTTGTTTACAGCACCATTTTACTGAAGCAAACACTTCTGGTGTTTTGAGGGATTTTCTTTCAGCTCAAAATTAGAAACCCGAAATATCTCACCTTATATAAAATTAGCATTTATAAAAACCCCATGTTTTGCATTCCTCAGTTAAGCAAAATAGCTTACTAAAAAAATGTCCATTTTTCTTCACTGTGCTTCAAAACAGATGAACAGAAATTGTATGCAGGAGAAAGATGACGATGATAGGAAAGAGAGAGGGGAGAGGAGAAAAAAGTCACTAATTTTATTCAGCGAGAGGGTGGAGTCTCTCCCTATTGTGTTAGTCCCAGTGCACTATGTACTGACAGACAAGATTGCTAAGCCTGATGACATTCTTAGAGAAGCATGGATTTCTTCCTGATGTATGTCTCATGTTTAATCTCTAAGTAGTGGAGCTTCTAGATTACTTCTCCACTCTGAGTTTCTCCTGTTTATTCTGAACTATTTGCTTTGCCCTTTAGAGGGAAGATTGAATGTATTGATTTGACAAATAGAATTTTCCAGAATAGTCCTGAGTAACTGAACATTTCAATGGGGTTAGGGAAAGGAATTTTAGGGCCAAAATTGGTGCTCATGAAATTTAAAAATTCAGTTCTGACACTAAGTCAACGAAGATTTTAAACAAGGAATTAGATCTAATATTACAAGTATTAGATGTCAGTTCTGAGTGCAAATTTACATATTTTCTTTTCTGCAAGTTTCATCTTCATAGCATATACTGCTTTTCCTGTAGTCAGCATGACTGTACATTTCTACTTGATTTTTAAAAATTTTTTCAGGGTGGAAAAATTAAAAAAAAAATTAGGCTTACTTGGAAGTTATATTAAGCCATTAAATATTCCATATTGATGATGGAGTAAATTAGAGATGCAGTATGTCCTCAGCAACATAAAATGCACTTGCAAATCTGACTTGAGCAAATTCATTGACTTAGGGAAGAAGTTAGGTGCCCATTTATTCAAGAGGACTTTTCTCATGCTTGTGTAGACCAGCACAACCACAAAACTACTCACTTTGAATGAAATTCTTTCAGTCCTGTCAAATGAGCTCAATATCAACTCCAAAACTTATGTTTCTATTCACAGTTTTATGTATCACATATATACAGACACATACACATATAAATATTTAGGCATCCTTTTTCTTTTCTTGATGTTTTCTTTTCCTCAGTAATGTGTAAATTATAATGAAATATTTATTGGAAACATTTAGGAGAGCTGTGGCTTTCATTTTACCTTTTCAGGACTAATGATACTGGCTTCCTCTCCTACAAGGACCATCTACCAGTAACTGAAATTGTGATCACAGATACTGACAGACCAAACTCAGAAGCTGCTTACAAACTGGGGCCTTTGCTTTGCCGTGGTGATAGTAAGTAACAGTTGAAGAGTTTTGCTCATCAATGATGCATTTTGTCTGCAATAACTTTCAAAAGTTATTTGTTACAACCCTAAGATAAAATTCTCTAAAAATTTCATCCCATTCTTTTTGGAATTAGAAAAAAATAGCCACCATCATCCAGTGCAAACCATTGAAATGGTGAAAATGTATTTTTCATGATACGTATCAATAGTGAAAACAGAAAGTGTTATAATAGTTTTCAATCAGATATTTTGCTTTATCCAACTGGAATTAAATTATGAATAAAGCATTACATGAAGGGGAATTCATAGCTGGTTACTGTGTCTTGGGGAAATACCCTTCACTGGCCATGCATGCATCCATCATAAAACATTACACATATTTCTGCCTCTGAATTTTTATGCAGCTAGGAAAACTATTCTGTGGGAGAGTTATTCAGTATATGCAATATCGACTTGCAAATTTTCAACTACATGTAAGAATTTAAATTTTATAAATTTACACAATAATTCTAGGTTTGCATTCTGAATACATATTGTGGTAACCAGAATCATATATTTGTGCAAAACTGGCACCTTATTGAAGATTTGTGATGATACTTCTGTTTTTAATAATTTCCCTGAGCAATGAAAAAGAGAACATGTTTGGCTTATGTTCAATGGTAATGTTTTACACAAAATTCTATGTCTGCTGCTGTTTGCAATCAAAAATTAGGGATTAGGAGAAGAAATACTATAAACAAGCCCAAAGAACTCAACTGAAGAGTTGGATGGGCCGTATTTGATATACAGTTGAGTAAGTTTTTACAATATTCAATTAGGTTAATTTTTTTAAATCACATGTTACCATATTAGTTTTCATTAATTTACCTGTTATCTATAATAATTACTATATTTAACATATAATAGATGTAACAGTTAGAAATTTTTTTATTCTTTATGTGGTTTTCTTCCTTCATCATACAATGTCATGTTTGGTTTTCAAATTTCTTCAGCTTATATGATTAAGAGAAATACCAGTAAAGTACTGGTGAAGTATATATAAAAAGCAAAGAATATATATATATATATAAAGTATTTATATTTTTAAACTCAGTCAGGAAAGTACATAGATTAAGAAAATATAAATTAGTATGAATTTATTTTTGTGTCATCTTCGTCTTGTCAGGGTAATTATGCCTGGAAGATTTGTTAACAGATGTGTGTTTCAGCACTGCATTCTAATTTTCCATATGAAAATTTATAAGACTTAAAAATCCCATTGGGTTCTTTCACTTCACTAGTCTGACATCTGAATGTGAACTGATAATTTTTCCTACATATCATGAGGCTATGATATAGTATTATGGTTTAATTCAGCGTGACAGGACCTAAGGAGGTCTCCTGCTTATAGCAGGATTAGCCATGAGTTGAGATCTGGTCTCTCAGTGCTTTGTCAAACTGGTGTTTGAAGCACCCAAGCTGTACTGCTTCTCTGGGCAGTCTCTTCCGCTGCTTGGCTGTCCTCAGTGAGAATTGCTTTTTACTTTTATCGAGCCTGAAACTCTGTGCTTTCACCATAACCACTGCCTTTGATACTCATACCTTATACCAATGCAGAGATGCTGTATCTGTCTCTTTGATGATTTCCCCTTAGGTTTTGGAGTCTGCTATCAGGTTCCCCAAAAAACCTTTCTGCTTCCCAGGCTGAAGCAGCCAAGTTCCTCCAGCCTGAAGGGCAGGACAACTGCTCCACATCTGAACCTTCTGGTGGCCTCCACAGTACTTGTTCCTGTTTATGAATGTTTTCTGTTGCTAGGGGAAGGGAAATTGGAAGCCCAGTGCAGGTGTTCTCTAGCAAATACTGAACAGACAGGATAACCAGCTCCCTCAATTGACTGGCCATGCTCACTCAGCATACCTCCATTGTGGCCACAGACCATGAAGCCAGTGACAAAGACAGCAATGAAACAGAAGCACTTAAAGCTTTTACAGTTCTAATTACTGGGGGGAAGCAGTTGAATTTCACTACTCATCAACTGTTCCCAACTATTATTAATTACATAACCTGACCTCAGATGTGAAAGATCTTAAAACATGGAAGTCAACTAGCTTCCTCAGAGTAATCTCAAACATACAGACATTTCTGACATCCACTGACCTCCCCGACTTCATTTGATGTTTGCTTAGTCTGGGTGATTGAATTGCTGCAATATTTCACACTGATGATGAATGATCACAGTATTTCTAGACAAGCTGTGATAGAGAATTCTAAAATAGCATGAGAACAAGCACAAGAACTCAGTCTGAATGTCAGAGAAATATTCCTGTAATGTCATACAACATTACAGCATTTGACTTCGAAAAGAAGTAATTTTGAGCTGAAATAAGCTCAATGAAAAGATTTCAGAATATAACAGTTCATTGTCATAATACAGCAAAAACCTTGAAATAAGAACATTGATTTTGATTGTTAAATAATGCAATTTTTCTCAGTCATTTACGTTATAAAGACAGTACGAGAAGAATATATTTAAGGCAGTAAGAACTAAAGTTTGAGAAAACACAATTTCTGAAGGAAAATGATTATATCATAAATTTTGACATAAGCCCAAAGTGCAACTTGTTAAGAAAACCACAAATTTGATGAGTGTATATAACAAAATATCTAAATAAAAGTTATTATATAATTTATGGTATGTTTTATATATATATATATAATTAGATTATCAAATAAATATTTTATAGCATGATATGTGATGAAGTCCAGAGAAGGGCAGTGAGGCTGATGAGGTACCTAGAGGGTAAGTCCCAGGAGGAGAATTGAGGGAGCTGGGGTTGTTTAGCCTGTAGAAGAAGAGGCTCAGGGGAGACCTTATCACTCTCTGCAGCCATCTGACAGGCGTATGTAGCCAGGTGGGGATCGGCCTCTTCCCCCAGGCAACCAGGGGCAAGATGAGAGGACACAGTCTCAAGCTGCACCAGGGAACATTCAGGCTGGACATCAGGGGAATTTCTTTATGGAAAGGGTTGATAAGCTTGGGGTGAGCTGCTCAGGGAGGATATGGAGTTACCATCCCTGGAGGTGTTTAAGGAAAGACTAGATGGCGCACTCAGTGCTATGGTCTAGTTCACTAGGTGGTGTCCAGTCAAAAGTTGAACTTGATGATCTCAGAGGTCTTTTGGAATGTAATTGATTCTGATATATCCTACATACAAAATTATATATACATAGGAAATTATACATATATATATAAAATATGTAGACTATATTAAAATATATTAATATAATCACTTATATACAATATATTATGTCTTACAATAAATACTGAGTATAGGACTTAGATCTTTTTTTCTAATGGTCATTATGTATGAGCAGTAGATTCTATAATGAACATTTTCTTTAATATTCAGTTTTACAGTTAGTGTAAAGAGCTATGACTTGCAGTAATTTCTGAGTTCTACATCTTAATTTTCACACTAGAAAACTGATGAAGTTTAAACTATCTTGCCAGGCCACTGCTTCTAGCAACAATTTGAAGTTATAGAAGGAAATCAGACCATTTCTAAGACTTTTTTCCTAACCTGAGGTTGCTGACACACATGAGGGTCTAATTAAATATACTTTTAATCACATTTAACTTTGGATAGGTGAAGAATGCAAAAAAGGTCGAGTGGCAAATACCTGTTTTTCAGAAGTGCTGTCAAACAAGGAAGAACAGGTATTCCTGGACTCACAGTGTGATTTGAATACTCTTTAAAGAGATCATTGCTTCTTTTTTCTTCTGTCGGTCTCTCGAACCAAATGATACAGTTATATTTCACAGGGGATGTTCTTTATTGAACAGGTTTTTGTTCTATCTGACAGACATAAGCTTTTCAGAATGACTGACTAGAATATTATGTAAAAACATGGAGGAGAAGGTTTGCCGGTATTTATAATACATTCAGTACTTCATTAAATGACTCGAATCTAAAAGATCATAAATTCTTATTGCATCAATAATCTATTCCTTGTAGGACAGCTACTTGGGAGGAAAAGAAAATTGCATATGCTCACAGCAAAATAAACTAGAACCATGAAAAACTGGTTGAATTGAATTGTCATAAACTATGCACTCCGCTAAGTTTCCAAGTCAGAGTTACTTATTTGAGTGCTTCTGAAAAGTTATGTGTCGAATGCAGTCCAGCAGAAGTTGCCTATTCATTGTTGCATATTTTTTTATTTTCACTCTTTTATTTAACATTCCATTAGTGTACTTGGCTTCTATTTTTTTTTTTTTAGGTTTTAAGGATTGATCTCTTTAATGAGGTATCTTACTTATAAGAAAACCAAACCATATTAGTCAGAGTAAAGCAGGAAAGAGTAGACTTCTGTAAGAAAAAAACCCCCAAAAACATAAAAGAAATATAAATATAAATATAAATATAAATATAAATATAAATATAAATATAAATATAAATATAAATATAAATATAAATATAAATATAAATATAAATAGTATACATATACATATATTTATAAAGTTTTAAAAATTGCATTCAGATGTTATTGACCTTTTTCAGCATTTGTGATAAAGTTACCTTGCTATATTTATAAGATGCCAAGGTACAATGAAAGTACTAGAGATATTCAAGAAGAATATGGCTATTTTAAAAAAAATTAGTCAATAGTATTTGGTGACATTCAGCGCCACACATACGAATAGCACTCACACTTTTCTATCACCTTCAAAATGAAGTACTGATTTGTTGCTGATTCATTTCTATAATCCCTTTTCTTCTCTACAATACGTTTAGTAAATTGCATGGTAGAACTGCTGGTATCAGATTGAAAAATACATCTGAATATAATGAAAGTTAAGATTAACATTAACATATATGAACTGAACAGGGTAGCAGGAAAGACTTTGAAGCATATGACAATGGATAAAGTCTTTGGTACATAAATAAATAGAAATTCTATGGTTTTCATGAAAAAAGAAAGAGTTATCTCCATTATTTTTGTCATTATTAAAGTAAAAGCTAGATGTTGAATAAATTCCAATAGAATTAGTTAGTATGAGTAGATTAAAAAAACCCCACCCTTCTATGTTGGGTGTTTTTTATTCTTGTTCTTTTCATTACAAGAGCTGGGTAGACATATTCTGATTTATCACTATGAATTTCCAGTAATTAAGGATGTGTAAATAAATCCAAAATACTGAAATATAGCTAATTTGACAAAATTATATACATTAAATTATATTTTTATTTATATATATATAAATAATTTATATTATAGATTATTTGTAAATAACTTTAAATATTAATTTATTAATAATTGATTATTAAATTAACTAAATTAATCTGTCAGCATAAGGCTGATTCTTGGGCCCAAAATAAAATTTATTATATAGATATTAATAAAAAATAATAAAAAGATACTATAATATATTGTAAAGATAATGTATCATTCAAATAATATATTCAGATTCAGACAATATATAATAATATAATAATGTTCAGATAATGTATTTGTTTCAAATATGAATTTAAAAATCAAATAAAGATAAGGGTAATACTAGTGAAGAGACTGACAGACTTAGATAAGGGATTTGATGGAGTGTCATTTACTTGGCTGAATAAAAAAAAAGTAAATTCAGCTGCAAAATGATAGTGCAAGCATGTAAATTGAAGCAGATAATCCATTCAATGTGAATTCTCTGTTTGACATTTAAATGAAGAAAGAAAAACCAAATAGTGTAAGCTTTGGATGTATCAGAGACTAACTGTATTAACCAATCGTGAGTGATACCTTCAATTAAAGCAGCACAGAAATTTCTAATTTAGCAAAAAAAATCTTTTCCATCTCTCTTCACTACCCTGAGAAATCAGGGCATGTCTTTTACTTTCAATAGCAGAAGTATTTATAAACTGTGTGTTAAACTCTTCCCCCTTATTTAGCTTTATATAAATTATTATTAATTCATATTTGTCCTAACCTCTGTCTAATCAATGTTGTTTTGGTCCTCTTTGTAGCTTCCTGCATAATCAAGAGGTTTAATACAAGTCTGTGATTACAGTTTTACAATGTATGAAGAGAATGTAAGGTTAAAGGCTAGCGTTAAGGAAGTTGAGGTTCATTTCTTAGTGAAAGCATTTAAATCTCTTTGCTGAATTTGGGCATAATCTGAGGTGATGTGTTAAACTTAAAAGGACTTTCATAGAGGAAGAAATTTCAAATAATGTTCTTGAAAGCAGGAAATAAAATCAGAAAACTATTATTTTTGTTTGGGATTTAGAGTTAGACTGTATGAATACATACACATGCACAAACTGACAGTAAAAACATTTGTAAATTTTCCATAAATTGTAATTTTTAATGCAATCAATTGAATGTTTTTCCTAGACTAAATTCTCTTTTTCAGAGAAGAATTGATTCAGGGAATTTATATAGTCTGTGTTATATCAGATATTGAGCTATATGATCACAGTTTTCCCTTCTGGTCTTTTATCTGTGGATCTTACAGTTAAAAAAAACAAACCAAAGTACAAAATAAATTGTTTGGCAACATAAGAGCTTTATTTTCTCAGCCTCAACTCTCAGTGTCCCTGCTGACAGAATGGAGATGCAACCATTAGATGTATCACAAGGAATTGATATAAATGATGAACAGATTTCAGTTTTGAGTGGGAACTTGAAGAGTACAAATTGAAACAGCACAATTGTTTTGAAGAGGCTAATTTATCTGTCTTGTTATTATTGTCCCTTTTTTATTTTACAGTTTTGAATTGGTAAGAGTAGTTGATATATCCCAAAAATGTATGTAATTTTTTCAATAAAAATAACTTCATGTATAATTTATAAGAATAGGATCTTCATTCTTTTTACTCATTTTACTGCTTAGATAAAGTGCTAAGTAATACTTATTTCCTAACCAAATGGTGTTTGGCAGTTCCAAAAAACTAAATGAGGGACTGTGAGCCAGATGTTGTAAAGTGAAGAAATTCTTTTCCCTATCTGATTTACAACAATATTAGATACATTGTAATATATTTTTCCTAAGCCTATATTTTAACCTGCTTTACTGATAGCGTATCTTTACATTCATAAATCATACAGTTCTTAGAGCTGAGAAAAAGAATAGACAAGAAAAGGCAGTAAATTAAGAGAGAAAATATTAAATATCCTATCCCTGCCCTCCCCCAAGGACTCAATTTTGATTTACAAATATCATTCAAATGCTTCATTGAAGCTAATTATATCATTACTGGACTGTTACTGCCACTGTTGCCTGTCTTCTAATTACTGGCAATGTTGTACAAATTTTGTATAAATTACAATATTAAACTTCCTGTTGTGTGTGAATTAGTGGTTACAGCCATCCCATTATTTTAAAATAGCTGTGATACACTTGAGTCACAACTGTTGTGAAGTTTACTCTGTGGGAGTCATGACCTGAAAGAGCTGAGGAACATGGGCTTAAAACTGATGCCAATATGTAGGGCTGCTGGTTTTGTCTGGTGGCACTTTTCACAGGTCGGTAACTTCAAGAAGCCCATAAGGCAGCACAGGAGAGCGAGGTGCAAAGCTATAGGTTCCCCTCCCAGACTGTTCACAGCTGCCTTACCATGTAAATGTTGTCCCGATGGCTGCTTTAACTTGTGAAAGCTGGCACTATTCCTGAGTGTCAAAAGTGACAATGAGCAATTGACAGAATATGTGTGAAAATCCTGCCATGCTGCTTTTCTAGGGTTTTCTAGGTTTGGGATCCAAAACCTTCCTAAAATGGTAAAAACTCGGCTGGAATGAGGGAATGGGCTTTAATTTTACTTCACTGGCTGTGGACTAGGCTTCCAAATACACTGTGTTATAGGGTTTGATTTTGCAGGGAAGAGAAATTTTCGGGTTTTTTTTTCTTTTTCCTTCCCCCTTCCCATCCTAAATGCAGAGCATGGCTGGAACAAAACTTACAGTTTTGAATAACTGTTCAACCAAGATCACAACATTATCAGGAAAATATGCAATGGGTGTGGGGTCAATTAGATGAGAAAGTATTGAATGCTTCATTTGGTTTAGAAGGCATTATAGCTTAATAAAGAAATTCTGATATATCTGTGAGGATTCAGCAATATTAACAAGGTACTTCTAGTTGAACACCATAAATGAAGATTACGTCTTAGAAGAGGGTGATATTAGAGATTTTACACCTGCCTTTTTATAATCAATAACAAAATTTTGCAAATTATTATTTAATGCTAGCTTAAAAATAATAAAAAAAAACCCAAAGAAATCTGTGCTTGTTTGTTAAATTTTTCAATTTATTCTTTGCTTTCTTCTACAGTAATTGCAAGGATAGTTGTCCTACAGTCTTTGAGATATCTGGTAAATTTCACTGGACTACAATGATAACAAGTTTCTTTTCCTTGATATGTAAAAATAAATTTAACAACTCTCAAAGTTATGGTTTGTACGAACTAAACCTAGAGTTATAAATATTGGAAACGACCTTTAATTAAAAGTCTTAACTGTCAGCCTTGCACCACCCCCATGTTCACCATTGAACCATGACTTCAAGTGTCATATCCACAGATTTTTTGAACACTTTCATGCACTGTGATTCCAGTCTGGGAAGTCTGTTACAATGCTTTCAGCAGCCCTTTCAGTGAAAAAAAAGATATCTGTCATATTTAATCTAAACTTGAGGCCATTTCCTCTAATCCTGTCACTTGTAACCTGGCAGAAGAGACTGGACACTGCCTCACTATATGCTCCTTTCAGGCAGTTTCTGAGAACAGTAAGGCCCCCACGAGCCTCCTTTTCTCCAGGCTAAACAGCTCCCTCAGCCAATACTACTATAATGTAGGTGTAGTACTTCATTCACGGCTGCGATGTTTGTTTACATCATGAAAGGATACATCAGGCCATAACCAGACTTCCCAGCTGAGATGAAATCCATTTTGTTTCCTAATAATTGGGTTTTTGTTGCCTGAGCTGAGCGCCTTTATTCTTGATGAAACATTATTCTGCATTCCCAATAATGCCTACCTTTTTGTGTTATGAACTAATAGGGAAGCTTCTGTAGATGTGAGACTCTCTGAACACTGCAGCCCATTCTTAGACCTGGGAATTTTCCTTTTTTTATTGGTTATGAAACTTACACTAGAAACATTACATAACACTGTATCTGTCGTCCTCTCATTCTGTTAACCAGGAACATTTTGGAATTCAGCTTCCTTCAACACAGAGACGTCCTACCTGCATTTCCCCACCTTCCATGGAGAACTTAGTGCAGATGTCTCATTTTTCTTTAAAACTACTGCTTCCTCAGGAGTGTTTTTAGAGAACCTGGGAATTCAAGATTTCATAAGGATAGAGTTGCAGTGTAAGTAACATAACTGATGGTATTTTTGTTGTTATTATTATAAAAATTGGATTTTATTTAATTTAAAGGGGGAGTATTTAAAAACTGTTCTCTACCTTTATTTCTACTACTATTGCCAGATCTTTATCATTATTGAAAAAAATCACAGCACTGAGACTAAACAAGTATCCATTTGAGGAAATTTTCTACCCCAGAGGTTTCCTCATCTAAGAGCACAGCAATCAGCCCCTGACTGTAAGATTGTTTCTGCTTCTTGTGTTCAGTGCATCTCTGCCTCCAAATTCTCTTCCTCCAGATTTTAAGACCAGGCATTATATATGGCTGTTGGGAGATTCACTCAGTCATCTTGTGTGACTCAGACCTTTTGTGGTACAGTATCTTAAGTCACACATGTTTTTTTAATTTTGTTTCATTTTATTTGTGCAGACACAAATTCTCAGACTTACAAGCAGAAATAATTTTTTGTTGCATAAGAGAGAATTAAATATCCCACTAAATCTGACATGAGGTGACCAACGTAAAATGAAACCTCTATCTTAGTTGACTCAGTGTATTATTCTTACACTGCTCATTATTAAAAGAAAGAACATTTGAAAGGATGAAGCATTTTTTCATTAGTCTTTTTAATTAATTTAAAATGTCACATTAATTGAAAAGTCTTATGCTTGCCTGGTGACTGAGAGTTCTTTAGAAAGTGCACTTTTTACCTTGGGATTAGATAGTTCCTCATTTTTTTTCCACATCAATTTTGTTAACAGACTCCAGTATTTTCTGGAGAAGATTACAAATAAATATATATGTAGTATTACAATATATTACTATAGATACATTAAATATTTTTATTAAAAAGTCAAATATTCTGCTTTCTCATTTTTTTTGTCCATGTTAACATCTAATGTTAATGAAACAGGTAAACACCTTCTGTAGGTAGTTTAATTATAGAATATTGTGTAGTGTTTAAAGAATTTGGTTTTCATTGTCTCAAACTATATTTTTGAAAATATATTGTATTTGAAAACTACTGTGTTTTCAACATTGTTTTCACCATGTTTTTTGGCAGTATGATCTGCCTTCTGTTAAAGCTCTGTGAACAGTTTAAAGGACAGCAGCATTGTAAACTCAGTGTCATGCAATACAGAAAATGTTCTGGATCAGCACTTCAGTGGATGCTCTCTGAAGCAATGATGATAGTCTTGTCTGATTAATGATTTTCCATTTTCAAAATAAACAGTAAATCATGGAAGCATTAGAGGAATGCTTCTGAGAACTGAATTTATTCAGACATTTGTCAGAAGTCTATAAGTTTTTTCAGAATAATAATGTGAAGATAGACTTATGATGCTTGTCCCATTCATTCATGAACATACAAACCACAGCATACTTATGGGTTTTAAATGACTTTATATGAGTAGGGAGGTGTGAGAGAAAGCAAAAGGCTGAAAAAGGTCTGTAATTTCAGCATCTAAAAAAGTAAATTTATCTCGTTATTGTGCAGCATATAGAGATATTTCTTCATTTCCATAGACACCCTAATTTGTTGAGTGGTAAGACTTATTATTTTTTGTATGTTGCATGTAAATTATATGAAGGATTGTTTTAGTGGATCCAGAGCTGCCTGTTTTTACTGAAGAAAATATCAATCAGAAATGAGCAATATATTTTTTCCATCAAGAGTACCTTTTTTAAAAAAAAAATTAACTTGAGCATTTCATATGGTATAAGACAATTTCGATTTCATCATCATATAAAACTCCAAATCCTTTATAATAAATGTGAATGCAAAATGGCAGCCTACACTTGGTATTCTACTAATAATTTCAAATAAATTAATGTCTTTTATTTGTATAATAATAAATAACAATAATGTAAATCTCAGATGGCACTGTTTTTGATGATGTTGTGAGAAAATGTTTAGAACTTACTATATCATTAGCATTTGACATTCAGTACTTGGAAAGACTAATTTTTTTGTAATATTTTATTGATTGTTTTCAAACTTTAATTCTTTTATTATGGGGTAGTGATATTTAGACTTTGAAGTCTAGCTTCAAACAAAAAATGTCAGATCCAGAAACTTAATAGAAAATGTGAAACTTAGAGCTGTTCTATTGGTTTTATGAAGTTATAAACACTGTAGTGCCTTTGTGTATACATTCTAGAACATTTGCAAACACATTCTAGAACATTTGCAAAATGGTGTGTGCATCCTAACTGTATTTTATAACAGGTTAAGTAAAAGAAGATACTTGTCTCAAAGAAGATACTTGATTTCTCATTTTTGTTTTGCAATTAGTTATAAATGCATGTTGAACTTCTTCCTGATTTCCTGATTTCCTGAAGAAGTAGTGGTTGAAAGCAACAAAGCCAATTCAACTCTGAAGAGTATGCTCTGCTAAATATTTATAGGACTAAAGGTTAAATGTTCTAGCCAAAGGCCTGGTTATTTTTTATTGAATGCTCACTGAAAGTTTATTTCCAAAGAGTTGAACAGAAATTTAAAGTAGGGTTGGAAACACTATGGTGTATTGATTTGGTTGGGCTTCTGCAGTTTCTTTGGAAGTAGTTCAAAACAGTCCAATACTCAACTACTGATGGCCTTTGTCTGCCCAAATTTGCAACTTACTCGCCAGGATGAGTGCAATTAAACTTTAAATGAAAATTTCCTATATGGAAAATGCTAGAATTTTGAATTCTGTAGCATATTAGTTGGTAATCACTTTTTGCTTCTGCACATGATGCTCACACTCAATACTCCGGATGGTTCTCCGTAGCTGTGCTTTCTGTTAGTCGTTCTAGGCACAGCTAACCACTGACCACTCTCCATGATTACCATCAATTGCATCTTCCACTCCACTTTACCAGTCTGTAGCTGTGCTCTGCTTATGTTTGAATGCTAACTAGGGTTACAAGAGTTCCTGCAATGCTTAGAAAGTTTTTAAGTAACACCAATGTAAGTAGGACCCAAAAAGTATGTTTGTGTTAGAAGAGAACTCCTGGATGAATTCCCTGTGCTGTCTAAGAAATTACCAAAATGCTCTTTACCTATATCCTTTGTTGCAAGATAACGAATTTTAGAATCCAGTATCATCTTTCCACATCCCAAGGCATATTTTCCTGGTGGTTCTTATAAATCCAAATTTTCTTTCAGATTTTCAGTGTTGCTGCTATTCGCAAAAATATTTAAAATATTGTGAATTGTTAAGTAATCATACATTTCACTTTTTTCTGACATATTCTGGTTAGTCTTCAGACACTACGATGGATGACCATATACCCATTCTTGTTATTTTAGCCTTCATACATGCAATTTCATGTATGCTTCCCTTTTTTAAAGATTATATTAATTTTTAGTGGTACTAACATAATTTATTATTTCAGTTATTTCAAAATATTTATGTGTTTTCTTGTCTTTGAAATCTGAACAGTAACATTATTTATCAGACCTGTCACTCTGATATGCTATTTAATAGGCCCATTCAGTGAGTTCAAAGCAGAACTTGTGTTTTCAGGCTTAACTCCAACAGTATCCAGAAGATTACAAAGACCTCTCTGCAGAAGGTAACATTCAGTAGAAATTATTTTCAGCCAGTCACATGGATTTTCTGTTGCTTTTATTCACCTACTGTGCGATTGTTGTTATTTTTCTTTTATCCCTCAATAAAGGGAAAGTGAGTTCTCAACTTTTTCTAAGTAAAATAAATTTATCCTAAAATTAATTTATTTTTCTGAGGATCTGTGTTTAGACATCAATTATTTCCTATTATTATATAAAACTGTTGATTTTTAAGCAGAGGTCATTTATTACAAAAAGCATTCCATTTATAAATTGACTGCACAATACACTTTATTTTATTTAGTAAGTGAAATGGTTTATGTATTTCCCATTTAAATTTTTTGTCTTAGGTTCAACTATTATAGAAAAACACTCTATAGCAACAAGATTTAGGGCTTAAGGGTTGCAAATGTGTGACGTTTCTCAATCTAAAGTTTGGCCAAAGAGGATTTAAATGTTTTTAAAAGTCTAATATATTTTAAAAGGTGAAAAGAAAGTAAAAATACTGCATGGAGTATTTTCTTCTAGTTCAGTAAATTCCTGTTTAAAATGTTGTTTGAAGCTCATCTAATTCCCTTGACTCCTAATTTTTTTGCTTTTCTGTGAGGATTCAATATTGTAAGTAGGAAGCTTTTTTTTTTTGGATCCATGGAATCTTCTCTATAATCCTTTAATGAAATCCTTAGTAATTCAAAATGATGACTATCCATTGTCTAGGGAATACTTTTTTTCATGATTATACATGAAGAAAGATTTTCAGAGAGAATATTCACAATTTTCATATCTTTGGTTTTCTGGCATATTCCTCATCTTTTTATTTTAACCTGCAAAGATTCAGTTATAATTTTCTAGGCAAACCATGAAACTATGTAACGTGAAAGTTGCTTAGAGAAAAACTCAGTTTAAATCATAATTTTATAAACTACATCAAAATCTTCACTGATGTTTGTAGAGACTCAATGAATAAATAATAAAAGTAAACAGACAGTAGAAGATGCCGGTTGGATTATAGTTGTGATAATTTAAATATAGTTAACAGCAGCAATCAATTAGCATGCAATCAGGAGATGCATTTCATCCAAACTGAAAAATCACAAAGCTAGCACATTTCACTTGTTTCTTGACTGCTATGCTCTCCAGGGGTTCACAAACTGATTGGTTTTCATGCCGTGCATAAATCATTGCTCTTTCTGCCAGTGAGTGTGAAGAATGAGCTGCAGGCCCCTGAAGTAAACTCTTCCTCTAAAACAATCAGTCTTATCCCATAAAATAGTAGGCTAAATCTTAAAGTAGCTTGTTCTGCTATTAATTACTTTGTGACTCAATTAATTTTTAAATAATTTAAGTGTCTATTGCTACTATCCTCTTTTAGCTCCATCTGAAGTGGTTTTTTCCTTTGACGTGGGAAATGGACCTAGCGAAGTCATAGTGCAATCACGCCATTCCTTAAATGACAACCAGTGGCATTATGTGAAGGCTGAACGAAATGTCAAAGAGGCTTCCTTACAAATAGATCAGCTTCCTCAAAGATCTCACAGTGCTCCACCTGATGGACATATTCGCTTGCAGCTCAACAGCCAGCTTTTTGTAGGTAGGTGCTCCATTGAATATTTCCTAATTATCAAAATAAAAATATGAAAATGCTGGGGTGAGGAGGGGAAAAAAAAGTGTTGGCAACCAGATATTTTGAAAATGCTTTGTATGATGACATGAGACACTTTGTGAGAAATTTGTGGAGATATTCACTATTTTGAGATTATAGATCTCAAAGTGCCTTGGCCAATATTTACTCCAGGACAGGATTTCAAATGAAGTTTACTTCTTTTGAAGGACAATCCAAGGATCTAGATTTACACCTTTTTTTGAGAGGATAAGTAATCTACTGAAGGAAGTTGTGCCATTTCTGTACTTTCAAGGAAATTTTGTTGTGTCTCTTTACCCACAGCTTCTCAGATTAAAACACAACATTAAGGTATTTAAAGATAATGTTGGAAAAGTAGAAATGGCATAAAAAAGAATTAATTAGCATTTATTTAGCTATTATAGAAAGCTATATAGAGCTATGTGTTATAGCCACAGTAGTGTTCTTAATGTAATATTGCCTTATGATGAATTCATAAGTTTCTGGTGTAAATGTATGTTGTACAGCATAAGAGCATTTAAAGCAGGCCCTACTTTTATAAAGACCTTTTTTTATGTCTGCTCTGAGAAACTCATACTAAATTAATATAAGTTTTATTTGCTGTATATTGGGGAGGAATTAATTTAAGGGAAATAGTGTTCTTAAACTGTAGCTAGAAAAAATGTGAATGCTTGTGAAAGAAATGAAATAAGGTGGGAATTCTTGTATGCTCTGACAAAAAATTTGTACCTGTGCCTCAAAAAGTATCAAGGGAAGAAGATGGAGACTAGACCAAACATTGAAAAATTTTATATTTTGATTAAAAGCATAGAGAAAAAAAAATATATCCAATATATATTCATATATGCAATATATCCAAATATATCCATAACAAAAAAATATACCAAATGAGTACATTGTTACAGTTACAGTGGAGTTAGGAGAAGTTTTGAGATTAGTTTATATTCACAGTAAGACACTAGATCTATTAATGGAAAGATCATATTTCTGTATTTTAAATTGTAAATTGTGTTGCTGCTGTCTGACTTGACTTGCCATGTAACTGCTATTACATGAATACCTAAAATTAGATTAACGAAATGGTCTAATGCTATTTGTGTTTTGGCACTATCAAGTGTAAAGATTTTTCTAATTATTTAGACAATTAGTTGGTCTTTGCTTTTTCTAATCCTCCTCCTAAAAATCTAATAATAATAATAATATCCTGTAATAACAGTTGCACTTTCTGGCAACTTTTTGGCCATTGAATAGAGTGATACTTTTTGTCAAATAATCTGGAAAATTCGAGTAGAATTATATACTCTTGTCCATGGACCTGACATTATGAAAACTTTTGAGTTATCTACAGGCAAGTTGTCTAGCTTGTTTTCTTCAGATAATGTTCATTCAGGTGAATAATTGTACCGGAATAGTGGCTTTGTTTTGCATCTGGTGCTATGTCTTCTTTTTTCACTCTGAAAATTCGCGGAGGTCTGGGATTAATTTAAGGATTTAGAGAAAAATGAAATATAGATTGTCTTTAGAATGACATTTGCAGAGGCACTCTTTACTTACAAGTCGTCTTCTTAGTAATCTAGTACCTTCCTTAGTCACCAGTCACTCACTCAGTAACATATGAAGACTGTGATCTCTTCAGGTTAAAACACTCATTATTTCTTGTGAAGAAGTAAAGTTGTATACACTCTCATTTTTCAAAATCAGAACTAAAGCCTAAAGCAGCCCTCAAAACCATAGAATCATAAACTTGTAGAGTGATTAGGATTGAAAGGGACCTTAATGTAGTTCCAATTTCTTGCCACTTTAACAGACATGACATAAAATTGCCACCACCAGGTAGTTTTGTTCCCTTATAACTGAAAATAACAATAACTATGTCAAGATATTCCATGTTACATGAAGAATTATACAAACTTTGAGGAAACTTAAAATGAATGATCACATGGAAATATTTATCCAAACGAGAACTGGAAATGTATGAGAATTATAGTTTACAGACTCACGCATTGTGGAATATTTTCTGCTTTTGCTTTTTAAAAGAGAGCAAAGGACAATAAATGTCAAAGTTGTGCAACAAAGGACAAGAGAGAGATGGTATGTAGGTTGCACACCTTGCTAAGCAACACAGATGAATAAAATGTTAGGTATCATGAAATGCACTAAAAATAAGGAACAGTTAAAAAAAAAAATTGAATCAACTACTCTTGTTAGTCTTAGGATTGCTCTGTATAGTTATCATCTGTGCTTAGTAGTCAGGTATAACCTGGCTGGTATTCCTCTGCATAGAAGGGCATTAACCTTCCTGTTATTGAAGAATAGACACAGCTTCCTTCTGAGACAAAGTATATCAGAACAGACTGAGGAGTATCATAGAATCTTTAAGGTTGGAAAAAACCTCCAAGTTCACTAAGCCTAATCTTTGAATGAACATGACCTTGTCAACTAAACCACAGCACTAAATGCCACATTCAGTTTATTGAGCATTTCCAGGAGTCAGGACTTCACAACATCCCTGAGCAGCCTATTCCAATGCTTAATCACCCTTTCAGTGCAGAAATTTCCCCTGATGTCCAACATGAACATGCCCTGGCACAGTTTGAGATTATGACCTCTTGTCCTGTCACTGTTTGCATGGGAGGAGAGGCACACCCTCACCTGGCTGCACACTCCTTTCAGGCAATTGTAGAGAGCCTCCTTTTCTCAAAGCTGAACAACCCCAGTTCCCTCAGCTGCTTCTCATATGAATTACTCTCTCAACCCTTTTAACCAGTCCATTCCCTGTCTCCTGGCACACTCCATCTCCTCAGTGTCTTTCTTGTAGTGAGGGGCCCAGAGCTCGAGGTGTGGCCTCACCTGTGCTGAGAACAGGGGGACAGTCACTGCTCTGCTCCTGCTGCCACACTGTTGCTGATACAGGCCAGGATACCATTGGCTTTCCTGACCACCTGGGCACAGCTGGCCCACAGCTGCTCGCCAGCAACCCCAGATCACTTTCCAGAAGGCAGCTTTCAGTCACTCTCCTCTAAGCCTAAAGTCTTAGTCACTCCCCTCCCCTCCCCTCCCCTCCCCTCC